TGTGCGACTCTAATTGGTCAGAAATGAGAGAAATGAGACAATAGCCGGCCGGCGGTATTTAACGACCCACGCGGGTCGGCGATTAAACTGACGACGCGCTTTTGTAATTCGCGCGGCATTCCGTCGCATTCGCCGTTCCCCCGGCTTTATTATTCCACTTGAAATCGTCCGCCCGCGTCTGTATCGCGATGAAAGCCTTAAATAGGACGTTGAACCGTGCTCTATGAGCTATGAACTTACGGTACCCGTAAGTCGACAATAAAGTGCGGCACCGATTGCTCTGTATACTGTAAAACTGGTACACGTGTCTTTATGTTCTTTATACTGTGAAATACACTTACTATTGTCTGTTTCACTTTGATACTAATCGCAATTCGTTGCACGAACTTCAAACTGGATAAGACAGTCTGGAGTTTATTAGATTCATTAGATATTACTCCAAATTCAAAAGTTCCTGAGAAGACAGAAACTTATAAGACATAAGAGACATAATGTTATAAAAATTATATCTTCAATTATATAAAAAATTTATATTAAATTATATTAAATTATTAAATTATTTAATTATACTTACATTATATTATTTATACTTATATTAAATTATTTAATATATTTTAATAATAAATAGCTAATAATAAATATTTTGATGACAATACAAATCAAATATTTGATGGTCAACGACACGTTAGTGCAGATTATGTAACGCTGTTGCAAAAACATCCCGTTTTCGCGTACGCATCATTGACGGTAATTAGAAAGTACGGATGCGCTCTTTTGTACAATTAGCTATCGGGGTCGCATAACAGTGCATTAATTTCTCAATCGTGCTGCGTCGCAGAAGTTGTAATTTATAAATTACATTGCGGTTCTTCCGCAGATGTTACTTGCTGCGTGTAAACACGTTGGTCTCATCATTTACAGTTGAATTTGATAAGGAAGGACGTTGCTATCGCGTGTCAAATATATTGCACTTTAGAGGATGAATTAACCGTAAGGTCAACATTCACCTAGTCAGTCGACTTCCTGTCATTGATAGCACAGCAAGGTAACCGCCGACTTAACCAGAAAATCTGAAATACTCTCTTACGTACATAGGCTGGACAAGTCTTTGTGTTTGCGAATAAGTTAGCAGGTGGACGATAAACCGTTAAATGTATACGGGTGACCGCATCGACATCCGATACACTTTGCTGCTTAGTGAAATAGCGTTGTACAGTTTCGTTGTTATTTTAATTTTTATTGCGAATGCGAGAAATGTCATGGTGTGATTTTGCCATTCACTCGTTATACGTTCGTTGGAGCATTGACCGTGAGTTAAATGAATTTCGCGATGGCTGTCAACCATAGGCATCGATCTTCCTTCCGTGTCGACGATTCAAAATGCATCACGATACTTTCTAATCCACGGTCCACTTTCCACTTTCCGATTTTACTTAAACGCAGCATAAACGAGAATTCGAGATAGCTTTGTTATCGAGCGTATATTGTCGGCAATAGTCGAATGAAAATAACGCGTCATTGACCTAATAAACTCACGTGCTATAAGAGCGTGTGATAAGGATCTCTCGATGCTTTTAATTATAATTTTCTAGATTTTTCAGTAAGGGAGACCTGGGACTAATTACGTTTTTTATGTGGTAATTTTTGGTAATTAACGTATTGTAAATCGGATAAATACCGCAAAGATATTTATCAAAAGTTGAACATCTATATTATAAATATTTGTTAAAATTATCATTTATTTATCTCACATTAATTAAAAGTACTTGTAACAATTTATATCCATTCAATCTATTAGGTGTTGGAATTAATTCGTAGCGTTTTACAAGTGATGGGAAGTACTTTCATTAATGTATTTTTTAATGCTCATGTGAAATAAATAACATTCTTTCATTAAAAAACGCTACGAATTAATTCCAACACCTAATACATATGAGATAGTTTGTTACAATTATCAGCTGGATAAATTGGACAGCTGTAAATTCTTTTAAATATTTTAATTATTTATAAATTAATTATTTTAAATTCTCGAATGAAAATATCTTTTGCTGATAAATAATATATATTTATTTGTAAATATAATGTTCCAAAAATATCGAATTTCGCTGTAGATTTCTTAACCGAATCAAAATATTTTCACAATAAAAGACCGTGAAAGCTATGATTGAAAGAAAGTTCAGCAATTTTGGAATACTCAATGTAATCATTTGTCTGTGTACAATCATACTATACAGGGCTGAAATATATGATGATTTGGTTTAAAATTAATCAAAATGATAGAATAATTTTTTGTAAGATGTTTTTGAAAAAAAAACTTGAAAGTTACGTATATGCACTTGAATAATATTTGACGTAATAATTTTTGCTACAGACAATGTGATTATTGTTTTTTTTTTTTGGAACAATAATAATTCAATTTTATAAGATACATGAGTGAATTTGTATAAGACAAAGATTAATTTAATTTCTTATACATTTATTTATTATTTAATTGCGATATTGTTGAAATGGTTGGCCATTTTGTTGTATACAAATTGAATTCTGAAAATTTAATCAAAATGGATTGCTTCTAACGTATTCTGTCTCTTTAATTTTTTTAATATCAAAGAATAATTTTTCCTTTTAATACTTGAAGTGCCAACGTTTCTCACTCATTAAAGGAATCAAATGAACAAATTACTATGAAAATAAAGAAAATGAAAAATTAAATATTTCATCAATGTAAAAAACGTAATTATCGAAAAATAAAAAAATTTCTATAATATATATATATATATATATATATATATATAAACGCCTATCTTTTACACAAGAAATAAAATTTAAATCTAAAAATTAAAACCGTTAACAACAACCACTTCTAATCAGGATAATAAATTTAGAATTTTTTCTAAAAAAAAATCTTAAAAAAAATTTATTCTTTTATTTCTCTTAAGTTTAAGCAGTAGAATTACTCTCTTCCCAATTGTACTACGTATTTCCCATTCTATATACTATAATTTCAATTTTAATAGATCCTCATTTTAAGTATGTCCATCGAAAGTCCAACGTTTATGACGCGCGGAGTAATTGATGGGCGTAATTCGTTTTACAGTTATGCGCTTGCGGAATTTTGGGTGCGGGCCTTTGGCTGCGACTGGCTTACTCCGGATACGCGACTTTGGTACCGCAGTACAGCTTCGTGTCGGCGGATTCGCTGCTGCTCGCCGCGGGATGCGTCACATTCGTCATCGCCTTCTTCGGATGTTGTGGCGCGTGGTTCCAGTCAAGATGCATGCTGATCACGGTTAGTACAACGTGATCCATTGTAAAACACGTGCCTTGCAAAAAGCACGCGTGGTACAGTATAGTTACGGACTTTTTGTGATACGCACGCAGTACTACATATGCGGCGCACGGATTGAAGCTTATAACTTGACAATCTTGAATATCTGTGTCGTCATTTGAATATCTAGATCGTGATTTGAATTTCTGTTGTCATTTGAATAATTTGTCACAGAGCAATACGCATGCTGTCCATGCTGACTACATTTTTAAAAAAATCATCTTTTTTCCTCGTTTGTTTTGCTCTTCCTTAGCTGTTAAGATAAATCTGTATGCTAAGCGAAACAAAATATTCTTTTCATCATACATAGTTTACACACATAGAATTCGTGCAATATGTGACGGATCGATAAATTCGTTTGCATATTATATGAGACCTTGCGTGTATAGTTGTAATTACATAGAATATGAGATCTTTTTTCCCGCTCTCGATTCTTGTTTTCTCTTGGCGAAAGAAATAAGTGTTAGAATAATTAAAAGGCTTTTGAAAATCTCAAAACTTGTAAAGAGATGCCTCATATAATTAATAATAGGAAAAGAGAACGTTGACACTTCCCGTAATTTTCAGTATTTCAGTCTGGTAATACTCATGTTTCTCGCCGAGTTCATGTTGGGCACCTTGGCATTCGTGTTCAGAGAACACCTCGCGAGGAGCTTGAAGGAGGAGCTATTGTACGGCATTGAGAAGCATTATAATATTACGAGGGAGCCGGGAACACTTTCTGCCATGTGGGACCATATACATACCGAGGTTTGTTTAATTATTTAATTAATATTTGCAAAACACCGCACGAGATGTTACAGATTTCTGAATTTCCTTAATTTATTTTAAAGAAACTTTCTTTAAAGAAATTTTTTTTGCATAGTTAAAAGATCAACTGTTTCGTATTGTACAGGATATTAAATTAAAATCTGTTTTTTTTTGTGGCTGAACTAATATATGTACTGATTGCATGTAAAACAGAACAAATACATATTTGTCATTTGATAAAAGTAAGAGAGATAATTTTAGTGCAGTTTCTCCAGTGGAGAGACAAAGAAACAAGTCTTAAGTAAATGTTTAATATGATGATATAATTTTAAATGTACGCTTGCAGTTTCATTGCTGTGGCGTACGCGATTATACGGATTGGTTCCAAATCGAAGCGTGGCCAGAGGAAGATCGGGTTCCAGATTCATGCTGCATGCAGCGGGAACGATACTGCGGTCGCCTAGATTCAGAGGGTCGTAACAAGGAACTCTGGTACAAGGAAGGATGCGCGACCGCCATTCAAATGTGGCTGGTAACCAGACTCCATGTGGTGGGCACGGTGGGCCTCGTCGTGGCTTTTCTCCAGCTATTCGGCCAAGTGGCCAGCATGATTCTCTTCTGCACAGTCAGGCACAAGAGATCATCTCACACGTACAAGAGTTACGACACTACCAATACCTAGAATTTCCGATCGATCTTAGACGAGACAACTGTCTAAGATCGATAGCATCCTTCTCGCGCGTTTTCGATTCCCGTTGCATGCAACGGAACGAATCTTTTCGGAATCGTGTCATTCCTTTCCTGAAGACTTTTAAAGAGGATCTTGTCGATTTCATCCGAATTTGCGAATTCGTATTAGTAGGAATATGAGTACAATTAACGAGACGAAAATTTGTTAAAAAAGAGCATGACAAAAAAAACGAAATGATTAAGTTATCGATGATTATTGAACGTTGATTTATAAATACATTTACAAATGAGACAATTTAAGTAGATAAAAGTACGTTGATGTATAGTTGACCAAAAAGTTTCCGCTGTGTACCAAAAAATATGATAGGTATTCAATGAATGGACTTCCTTCTTAGTCTGGATTTGATAATGCTTCTTGTAATCTCCAGTGATTAATATCGACTTCTAATGATAGTCCAACCTTGTCAGCTGATAGTTATTTATATTTGTAACTGTTCTAAGAGAAAGCGTAAAAAATGTATAACTTGTGAATCATTTTAATGTGCATAGATACATAAAAATTTATTGATCATAGGTAAAATCTAACAGAATGGAAAAGTTGATTTAAATATAAGAACAAATTGTATAACGAGGCTAAAGACAATCGATCATTAAATTTCAATTTTCTAGTGGAACAAGCCCATCCTACTTTCGTGGAGAATTCTAATCGTTATAAATATACTCAATATTCATTTACAAGAAGTAATCAATTGCTATTTTATAATAATTGTAAAATCTCTGTTTTACAGTAATTGTATGTCATATTGATTCTCAACGTTAACAATCGGGAGCAGTTAGATAGATAGCGTGCATGATTATGTGATTTAGTCCCGAGTATTCAATAGAGATTGTAGATCAAATTATCTTCAATGTCATAAGCATGAATACTTTACTAAGATTTTTGTATTCAATATAATATATAAATATAGATAAATATATAAATTTAGTAAATTAAAAATAATCGTTATATTCTTATATGTTACTTGATATCGATGAAGCAATCAATTGACCATAAATTAAAAGCAATGTTAAAGACTGTACAATGCAAAATCGAGAGAGTAAGATGATAGTTATGTATTATGTGTATTGAACAAATTATTATTAATAATAAAGGATGTATTTATATGTAATGAAGAGCTAGCCATTATATTTAGTTCTATTTTTGACTTTCATCATTTAACCGAAATGAATGAATTATTATAGACAAATGATACATTATAAAAGGCGTTTTTATTTGATGAGTTACATATATTCACGAATTACTTACCAAAATTTGAAAAATTTTTATAATGTTATCATTTTTTTAATTAAAAATATTATTATATAACCACTCAAAGATTCTGATTATCGTCCTTAATATTTCATTAAACTGCATATAAACATATAATTTTAATTATTGATATTTATAATGAAAAAGAAGATTAAATGTTGAAGAGTTGTATATATACATATATAATATATAGATGAGAAAAAAAAGAAAAATGATTTTATTTCTTTAAATATATTAAATAAATAGCATTACGCTTACCGGCTGTTGCATAGCGCGTATTACAAAGTCACTTGTTGAATTTACTGCTTTTGAAAATGTCGATAATGTATTCTTAATGACTAATATTATTGATTTAATAAGATTCAGTATCTTTCTTAATGGGTGATCGAAAATATTTCCAATATTAGTTTCATCAAAATTATCTCCAATAACGTCCGTTGTCTTATTTCCATTATAAGCCTCAGTCGTAGAAATAACAGGAAGTTTAAAGGTAGTCTGTGAAACAATTAGATATGTATACCGATAAGAATATGTAAAAAAAAACTTTACTTATCAGTATCCTTGAATGTAAAATCAAGAAGGGATATGTATAATACTTTAAACTAATCGATGAGTGAGTATTTTAGACGTAAATTGCATAAAATATTTCGATGCATATAAAACTCTAAAAAAAAACTACATAAATATTTCTATTTTAGTAGGAAAATTAGTTTATACAATGGAGATTTAAATTTGAAAAATGTCAGAAACAATATTTATACAAGGCTACACAGTTGGAAAATTTGTGTCAAGTTAAACATATTTCATGTGTCTCAAACGATTCAAATTTTTATCTTAATTTAATATAAGATGATTATTAAATAGATGATTATTAAAAAAAAAAACAAAAAACGTAATGTAAAAACGTTAATACAAAAAAGTTAATAAAATTAATAAAAGCACTCTGACACAAGTTGGAAACAAATTGTGCAGGAAATATATTTTTTCAGTAAAATCAACATTTATAATACATAAAATTAACACGTGTATTTATCATTTATTTTAGGATTTCTGTTTTAAACTACATTATTTTTATATTATTTGTCCTTTTACTCATAAATTGTGTTATTTTTATATCAAGAAATATTAAATATCAATTTAACACAAAATTTCAACTAACATAATCACGTACCATATTAAATTAATACTCGAATATGTTAGAAATTTAATACAAAAATTTTGACAAGAACAAGTTTTAATATAAGTACGTACGTATATAAAATGTTTTTTATTATGCAATATTCTAAAAATAAAAATAAACTTACATGGTTATTTTAAGAAAAGTTTTAAAGTGATAGAGGTAATAAAATAATTACAAACTGTTCTATTATCTGCAAGTATTCGCTATTTGTTAAATGTCAAAAAAATTGTTTCTGTTTTTTAAAGTAAGTTTTTCAAATAATAATAAAATTTTTTAGTTAAATATATTATCAGCAATAGTTTTAAATAATTTAGATAAATTAAAAGAATTCATTATGATGTAAAAAATTCATGTACCAGATCAGTATCCCTTCTATTTCTAGCACTTCGCGCTAAGATAGTGCTCGCGAAGAACAAAATTAACAGCAGATGCATACGCATTTAGACTCTCGAACGATCACTGTTCTTCCGAGAAAAATATTGCAGATTTTTTAGTTTCTTTACTTATAAAGACATTTATATGTAATTTCTTTAGTTATAACACTTCACTAAGATATTCGAGAGTTAACCAAAAAAGAGACGAACTTGCAAAAGACGACGCTGCTCACATTGCATTCTTTTTATAAACGAATATTGCCTATTTTCTTCTCCCTACCTGACAGGGAGAACAGAGACTATAATTATTCCTGTACTCGCGATTTGCATATCGCCAATATATTTTCAAACCACTCAAAGCATGTGCAATTTTATGTAAGACCATAGTCAGCACAAGCTTAAATTTAGCATATCGCTAAATTTTAGTATGAGTCAGTGATAACATCAGTATAGCTTAGTATTATCAAAACCAAATTATTATGCATATACTATTTTAGCTATGACGACATTTCGTGAATTTTCCAATAATTTATGAATAATTTATGAACAAGACACATAAATATAGGATAAGTCATATTTTAAAATTTTGTAAATATGTTTTCGAATAAAAAGGAAAACTTCTTATAAATATCAAGTTAATGCTTCATTATCAAATAATTAATAAAAATAAATTTGAAATAATAATCGAGTATTATATTAAATTCTTTTTTTCAAGTGTGAAAAATGCAAATTTTTTTATTTTATTGTACGTGTCCATTATTTCAATGAAGCATTTTAACGTTTACTAAAAAAATGCTACGCATTAAACATACGCAGTCTTGCTTAAGACAGTCTTGAAATAATCCAATATAAGAACAAGAAATTATATATGTATATTTCTAGAATATAACGTATATTTTTTTTATAACGTATATTAGATATAGTATAAAGTAAATATATTAACTCTTTCTTTCTCAACTATATATCTGATTTTAAAGTCTTAATTTACATGTCCGAGTCTAAGTCATCCACGGTGTTATTGATTGGTTTCATAATTATCACAAATCTCAATGGAAAATTTTTTTTTTTTTAATAAAATGCCAAAATGTATAGAATCGAAATATCAAAACATGAAAAAGTTTTGATAATAATTTAAAAAGTTATGTCAAAAAATATTAAAGAACAATTTGTGAAAAGAGTGCATCAGTTTTTTTTTAAATCATACTTTTATGATAAAAAAAGATACAAATAAAAATAAGTAGTATTTTGAAAAGAAAAAAATGAATTTTAAGAAAAAAATACATTATATTGATTTATTTTAAAAAGTATAATTATTTGCATGAGTGAAATGAAAGCATTTTTATACATGCTCAGAATAATGATATCGGAGTTGGGTGTTTTCTTCTTTAAAAATGCAATGAAAATGTTTTATATTAAATATATAATGATTTCGACATTATTTACTCACAATTTTATAATTTCGAGAAAATAGAGCGATCATTTTGCCAAGACGTCTCTTTCGTCAAAATGCTTTTTTAACAATGAATATACATTTTAATTATAAAACGACAACATATACTTGAATACACAGCATTAATAAACAGACACTTATTAAAAACGAATTTGTACTTTTAATAAGAATCTTTGATGTCGAATTTGATGGATCCAAGTCACTCAAGCCTTTTGTTGCATTACTATTAGCATCGAGGCAACAATGAAACAATTGCATTACGGCGATTAACAAAGAAAGATTTCAAGTTTTTTTACTCCCTAACAACTCTGCAATATTAACCATACAAAAATTGCGGCCAACTAAAATTTTCACCTGGGTCAAAATGACCCATTCATGAGGACTAAATGTATATTCTTTATGTATATTTCCTGTTTCGATAACCGTCTCGTATGCATTTTCATATATCAATTTTTATTTGTGAACTAAACGTTAAATTTATACGAATTCAGATATAAGAAACGAATAAATTGTGTCTTATGTAGCAGCACATTAGTAAACGCATTTTCTGTCTCACACATCGGGCGCAATTAATTTAAGATTTATTGGGAGCGCATTTTATTTATGAAATGAAAAACATTTAAAAAACATTTGAAGAATATGATTAAAATCAGATATCAAATTAAATGATTATATCTGGATTTTAATTATATTCCGTAAATGTTTTTTAAATGTTTTCCATTCCATAAACAAATTAATATAATATATGTTCATAACATGTTTTTCACTAATTATGTAACACTTTTTCTTTAAATTATTATAAATCTTCATACAATTACGATAGACTAATGATAAATGCTTTAAAACATTGCATGTTTATCTGATTTAATAATTAAGTACTTATAAATCCTTAATATATCTCTCGTAAATAGGAAAAAAATTACGTTAATTACAAAGATACAAAGTGGATCAATATGTACCACCTATATATTGAGCATCCTCAAAGGATAAGTTGAGCCATGAAGATAATCGTTTAATGAGGTTATATATTATTGAAAACATAAAAGGATTATGTATATTTATTAATCAAATTTTTATTATTTTCATCTTAAGTATAATAATTTATAACATTTTTTTAAAATGTTTTAATTAACAAAGTTAGAAAAATTAAAATCTTTACTCTATAATAATAATTAATTATATTTTATTATATTAGTGACTATGCTAAGAATGTATAAGTTAATTAAACTTATAATACGTATAAGTTAATTTTCAACTTTCGTCTCCGTTATTTCTTGCATAATCCTACTATTTTGTGTTTGACTTATAGTACGCCAGGTATGAGGCACCATGGGTCATTTCTTAAGAAAAAAATATGTTTTTATTTTTTTCTTAAAAACTACTAATATTTATTAAATATACTTATTAAATTTTAAAATATGCATTATACTTTAATTATTAAAAAAAATGATATAAAAATGTTTATGTTTAGCACTTCTAAGAGTTTGAATTTCTGTAACTCATGATGCCCCAGTCTCTCCTATATTTAATCGTTAACATAGAATAAAAAGCATTGATAAAAACAGATTTTATTTGAACAGCTGAGTTTATAAGGTTAGTTATGAGATATTAGCTGCACAAACTCAATATCAACTTGAACATTAAAGTTAAAAAATATATTAATATAACTTGTATCTAAAAAACACATTTGATTGTTATCAATCGCTTCAATTTATTTAATTACCACGCAGATGAATTAAAAATGAATACTCACCTAATAATTTTACTTTTGATATATGAAAACGAAAAAGCGCACATGTTTGGCTGTTGACAACTGGACATAAATTATTGTATTAAGTGTAATCTCTATCTTTGTACTACCTTAAGCAAGCATAGACGTATTTATATATTATTTAGATATTTGCATTTGCTGAACTTGCTCCTATGTGCAACTAGCCCCGGTCTACTCTTAATTTTTTATTAACGTATTTAAAAAGTGTATCTAGTTATTAAATCCTACTGTTAGGATCCTAATTGCATCAACGTCACTTGGATTTTAAGCGAGACTTAAAACTCTATCTGTCTTGTTTTAAAACCAAAAAAAGACAAAGACAGAAAGAGTTTTAAGTCTCACTTAAAATCAAAGTAACGTTAATGCAATCGGGTCTTAATAAGTTATTTAAAGGGATACTTTTTGCAAATTATAAATGCAATTAATTAAAAAACATTTATTTTAATGAAACATTATTCTTTATTCGTATTATATTAGTACAAGGCGCTTCCGCAACCTACACATCAGTAAGTCGGGTTGCCTGTCTGCTCATGGGTAGGGGCATGTTTTACTGGTAATAGAGAATTAGATTAGATGACAAGAGTCCGGCGGGGAATGAGACAAGAGAAATTTAATTTTACATACTGTTGTAATGTAAAGTTCAATAATAAGATACAAAAATATGTATTTAATAATACAAATGATATCTGACTTAATCTAATATAAATGATATTTAATAAATATTTAATCATATATAATTATAAATATTTATAATTATGGTGCAAATATTTTTGTCTTGAAATGTCTATGTAATAAATATTTGTTTTATAATTATAAATATTTATAATTATATATTTTTAAATATGTATTTTTAAATGTCATTTATGTTAGATTAAGTCAGATATTATTTGTATTATTAAATACATATTTTATATAATATTATTGAATTTTACATTATACTAGAATAAAATTCGGTTTTTCTTGTCTTATTCCTCATCGGACTCTCGCGATCTGCGTTACCAATAAAGCGTGCTCCTGCCCATAGGTAGATAGGCAACTCGACTTACTGTGATGTGTAGAATACGAAAGCATCCTGTACATGAAATTCTCTTTATGTGTTTCATCAACTACTTCTTGATGTATAAAATACGTTTCACACTACTCATACGTAATAAAAATTATTATATATGTATATTACATTACCATAAAAGAACAGTTCCCATACTGCACAGAAGATTGAAGCAATATTGCAATGTTACAATATTACAAATTGCAATGTAACATTGCAGAAGTATTACAGAAGTGTAAATTAACAATATGCTTGCAAAATATCAGTAATATGCTTGTAATATTCTACAAATATTGCAAAACTGTAATTCTTTAATTGTTACAATAATAATAATATAAAAATATAAGTTTTTACAATATTTATTTAGTACAGTCTTTTAGTTTAACAGTCGTTTTTATGATATAATAATTAATATAATACATTTTATATTTAAATAAAAAATTTATTGATCTATCATTTGATGGCCATTTCATTAGCTAAGTTTATATTTATTTTAAATATGAAATCAAAAGATTGAAGTCAAAAGATATAATATCGAGTTTGGACAATCAATGCATCATTATCGGATAAAACGATAAGCAATTAAGTTGCTGAAAATGATTTATCGAAATATTAATTATGTGATCGATAATATATTTATGCCTGATATGAGCGCAAGAATAAACCAGCGCCTGAACTTTATTGATAAATTTTATACCGTTATTTTTTCGATTTCAATTAACTTGGAGTGGCTTCGAATTAAAAAGAATCACTGCGATTAACTTAATCTATGATTAACTTACTAAGCGACTGTATTATTACATTAATGTGGATAATATTTATAGTTTGTTCGGAGCACACATACATACTTTATCCTTACGAATAAATTTATCCTTCAGAATTAATACTATATTTATTGAAATATTTTATTGTTTTATCATAAAAAATTGCTTTTGGAAAGCACATATCACTAGAAACGCGATTTGTAGAAAAATTAAAGTTAGTGAGATATATGTATAGAAGTAGTTTTCATTTTCATTTCACAGAGAGTCTTCGTAAAAAATTTATCCAGATACATTACATTGCAATATTGCTGGAACGTTTTGTTGCAATATAACAAAAAGCGGACATCTTAACATTGTTAGAATTTTACAACAATGATTCAGTAACATTTCGCAACTACCATGCAACATTGCAATGTTTTAGTGAAATCATTCTGCATTGTTTCTGCCATCTTTCTATGCTATATGGGGTTTAGCTTATATATACATACATGCCATATACCTATACTATTTATTTACTTTTATACAGCATTTACGTTTAATAAGCGTACAT